TGACACAGCTCGCTGCTTGGATTATTTGGCTATTGGGCTGTTTTTCATGGTGTCATCATTATTTTGCTGGAGTATTCAGGGTAAATAGTCACCTGTGGTATTTATACGTTTACTCTGATAAATACTTGTGTACCAAGTAGCATGTGATCTGCCCTTTTGCCCACATTATTTTTGCAACAAGTATAAAGTCTACAAAGACTTTACTACTTAGAATTTGTAGTTCTGCGTATTCCAGGTAGTTTTTACTGTGTATTATATGTACACAAGTGTAGAATAATCTAAGAATTGGCGTTTGAAGAATCTGTCTTATTGACTAGCTCTAAAGGTGAAAGTTACTGCAGCCTGCCATCATACTCAGCATTACTGGTAAACAAGAGCAGCATGATGGGCTAAATGTGATACAGGTGTGACTTCAATGAGAAGTCTCCCCCAGGATTGTAGCCCACTCACTCATGTTGCAGAACAGATGTGCAGAAATTGCTAGCTTGCTACTTAAGACTCACCAGCTTCTAAAAGCGTAGGGAATGCGATTGGTGGCAAACATACATAACACAGCTGTTTAATGTGCCACTGCTGACCAACCTGGGCTGCACAGGAGCATTTCTGGAATTGGAGAATAAGCTTTGCATACACACAATTAATTTAACATTGAACTTATAGATCAGCCTCAAAACTGAGGACTTCAGTCTTGTGAAGAATCACAGAATATGAGTGAGGGAGCCCATGTTGTTACATAAATTCCGTGATGTCTCTTTGAGCATTAAAGCAAAGAGTTTGCTTGGGTTCTCCTGCATGCGATTGTTGTCTCCTGTTTCCAGCTGCTCATTGTAGTGTGTGAGAGGGGCTGGAGGAGCAGGAACTTCAAGAAGATCTTGCACCTGATTGAACACGTAGGCAAATGGAAAAGGTAATTTGTGTTGTGAATAAATTCTGTTTGCAACTGCAGCCTGATCTCTCACGTCCCCCTAAATTTACACAAACGTGATGATCTTTTTTCAGGAGGTTTAAGGCAGAAAAGGCTTGTACTATTTTTTTTTTTTTTTTAAGTTCTGGTGATTTCTAAAGGTGAAAAAATTTGCCTGTTAGGAGAAAGAGTATAACAGCTTATATTGCCAAATAGAATTACGTGTCTGTCTCTTGGGCTTGGCAGCTCAAGGACTTAAATGTTCCTCTAGTTAGAGAATGTGAAAGAGAAAACAGACTATTCTTCTCTCAGAACTTGGGAAAGAACATCTCAGAAGCCTAATAACTGTACTGCAATTACAGAATAGGGTTTTCTCATGATAAAACCGAGCACTCAGGTTTGCTGTATGAACAACCCTGCCATCTAAAATTCTGCATGAAAAAAATTTAAGAATCACCTCCCCAAAACTGGATAAAGATTGGCACTAATACTTATTATTGCATAATATATATGGCACACTAAGATTGGCACTAATACTTATTATTGCATACATAATAAACATTCAGCTTCTCCTTACTCACTGTGTTGCTGTTGGCACCTAACCTCCATAGGGCAGAGGGAAAAGACTCATTTAGACATTGCCACTGATTTTTTCAAAGTGCCGAAATAGTGACCAGTCAATAGGATATCTGCCAAAATGTGTCACCATCCAGAGTGGTTTTTCAAAATTAGGCTAGTATGGACTACTTAGGCTCTTGCTGACAGTAACAAAAATCTATCTGTGTAGGGTAGGTGATAAACAATTTCGCCGCCACAAGATTTTTCTACTTTAATCCATGAACAATCTGCTTGTATGAAACAGAAATGAAGTTGTAGAAAATACACCTTTTGCACCAACTTCAAGGAGTTGGGTCCATATCATTACAGTTAAAAGATGTTGAGACAGTTTGTGAGGTTTTTAATCCCGTCACCTGATTAAGAGAGTAATGGACAAGCGTGTGGTGGGAAGCTAATAGAGCAAAGCTTTCTGCAAGACTTTTAACGTTGGCTTTGGTTTAAAGCACAGGCTATTATATTCCAAGGTAGTCCCTATGTTGCCATCTCTGTATTTCTTGGCTAAGGCTACATCAAATTTTCTTTACAGAGAAGTCAGGGTTCCAAGCAGTTGTCTAAATTATCCATGGAAACTTGATAAGGCTATTCCAGAGTCTCACTGTCAGGTACCGTAGCTGTTGAATCCTGCAACAATTAACACAACTGAAGCATTAACTGGTTACCGGCTGGTGTTTTGTAGCGATGCTTTGTTTGCTTTCTGCAGCAGATGCAGTGAGGTATATGTTCAACATAACAATCAGATGCACTGTCATGTGCAAAGAGTACATCTCTGGTGCCTGTTACAGTCTTTCCAACTCTTCAGCAGTATCTGAATTGAGCCAATTAATATTACATCAGCACCTGTATAGATCTTTTAGTAATGCACTATCATTTCTCCTGTGCTTACAGAAACAAGAATCTACTTATTTGTTACTTAGAAATCCAAAATATTATTATTTAATTTTTTTTACTATCTTTGAATTTGTGGAGATAGTTCTAGCTGTTGCTAGTAAGTACGTCCGGAATATTTTCTCAAGTATGTATATTAAATTGATAATTATAACTTCTTAAAACAGCTAAATTTTATCTCACTAGCTAGACATTCACCTTAATTAAAACCAAATATCAGGCTTTCAACTGGGTTAACGTTAAACAAGTTGTTGATATAAAAACCCCAGTCATGAATGACTTGGATGTTGGCTTCTGAACTTATCTTTTGCTGGTCCATAAAGAATACTGTGTCAAGGCAATGAAAATACATGTAACTTAGATCATATTTTTGTTGTATTGGAAATTATTGTTCTGTTTTAGATATTGTCCAACTAAAACAACTTCACGGGTATGAACTGTAGTATAATACAGGATGTATCCTTGAAAATAAATGCCATTAAAGCATATGAAATATTTCCAGTAAAGCATATGAAATATTTCAAGTGTATTGAATGGTTGTTTTCCTTTTAATTATCTTGAAATTAAATACATATAATCCGTGCAGCAGACTATACAAGTTCCTGTATACCACATGACTGTATGACAAATAGCATACCTCATCCCTCTCCCTCCCTGTTTTGCCGTCAGTAATGCTTCATAGGATGCATGATTCATATCATACAATAGAGGGAGAAAAGCCTGTCCCAGCACCCTCAGCCCTGCTACTGACAGGGCAGCACACAGCTCTCATACATCTAAATAGTCATGTTGTTGATCTTGATCAACAGCAGTGGAAAGGAACAGTATGTTTTTCTTTGCACTTCCACTTAGCCACTTGATAATACACCTGTAAACATCCATGAAACATTTCTTTTTTTGTCACTATTGTAGCCATTGCAATTATATTTTTCTTTTCTGCAGGCTGCTCTGACTCTTCCACAGAGACCACTTCTTCATTGTTCTACTGTGATTCCTGTTGTGGCTCTGACATTAAAGTTTATTATGCACCTTTTCAGGCTTAAGGATTCATGGTGCTTTCTTCCCTGGATGTTGTTCATATCCTGGACTTCTCATCATGTCCGTGATGGGATTCGTCATGGCCTTTGGATCTGCCCGTTTGGAAAAACTCCTCCTTTGCCATATTGGCTGTATGTGACAATTACAGCATCTTTACCTCATCTATGTTCATTTATTATGTATTTAACAGGCACTAGAGAATTAATGTCTATAAAACATGGAATCCGCATTGATGTATAAGAATGATGGCTCTTAAAGGTTGGTTGTATTAGCACTTGAAATAAGCTGTCTGTTTATCACTGAAGTGGTTTCCTTATGTTTCCTACGACTTCTGAGTTAGCCATTTTAAGTCTGGCTAACTGGCAAACAGGAGCCAGTTACAGCTCCTGTGTCAATTCCTTGTGGTCATAGAAACCTATTTAATGAATGGTAATAATTTTATATCTATACATTGTAAAATATGTGGTCTTCCACTATAGTTCATGCATAGCTAGCTGATTTATAAAGTACTTCGTCTCTCTCTGTAGTAATAACATTACATTTTACTGTCATGGTGCCGTTCATCTGATCACCATTCACTTTGGGTTTGTATTCTGCCTTTAGATAATACACTTCATCTAGATAGCATTTGTATAGCACTTCAAAAATGTAAAGTACTCTATAAATGCTAAGTATTAGTGAGAATTTAGTAGTGTCTAGCACTTCTAAAAAACATCAGTTAGCCTTTTGAATTTATTTATTTGCTTTCCTGCTGGACTCTTGTATTCAACTGTTTTAAAAGAAATGCTGTTTGTATTTCACAATGTGCAACTGTGTATCTGCACTTCTTTGAACACTGCTATCATATAGTGTTTCTGCTAAATTCTATTCCACTGTAGTTGCTTGGTACTCAGTTTGCTAGCTATTATTTGTGGTTATAAAGGAGAAGGCAGTTTGGTTACAGTATTATGTGTTGGCCAAATTGTTTATTTTTAAAAATATACTAATTACGAATATTATTTAATTTGGAACTAAGGAATTTTCATAAATGTTTAAGGCAAACATTTATTACAGTAAAACATAAGCTTTAGGGAAGATTGCAGAAGATATAAAAAAATCAAAATTACTCGAAATGTGAGTTTGCTTAAAGACCTTACTACTGTACTCGTAAACAGCATTTTCCATTGTTTTGGTTTAACCTCAGTCCACAATTGAGTACCACACAGCCGCTCGCTCACTCCTCTCCCCCGCCCCGGTGGGTTGGGGGAGAGAATTGGAAGAGTAGAAGTGAGGACATCCATTAAGTGCAATATCATCCTTATTATTGTAAAATAAAATGCATTATTATTGTTATTATTATTATACGGAAATAGAAATCTCCTCATAAATAAGTTCCTTAAGGAAAGATGCTATTATGTGGCAGGTTCATAATGTATTAATTTGCACTGTGGACTATTCAAAGTAACAGTTTTCATTTACAGAAATTTCTCAGAAAAAGTCCCAAAGTAAAAATTAAGCTCTTACCTAGTTTACAGTGTACAAGCTGAGAAATGTCTATTAATAATTGTTTTGTTAGTTTTTTGTTCATTGAACTCCATTACCCATTAAGGAGACAGGGCCTTAATTATTCCAGTTTGTGATGAATAGCTGTCAAAAGGGATTATTTTTATGGAAGAGCATATATAGGTTAGGATGTGCTGAACTTAAGTTATCAAAGGGTGCAAAGATTGGGTGATGTGTTCATGCTATATTTATGTTAGTAAATGTATATTAGTTTGAAGTACAAAAAAATTACGGAAAATACTAACTGGGATGGCTGGCTTAATGGGTACCAGAGACCACCTCTGGCTGCAAAGTACTAAAGGCTCTCTGCAGCACACTAAGCTAATTACGGAAAGTGTTTCACCCTTTTAAAATGTGCCTTCCCACAAAAAGAAGTCTCTGCCCTCTTTGTTCTTCATGTTAGAAATCTCTGCTTATGGAAACTTGTTTGACAGTGCAGTGGGCCTGTTTAGCCTTTATTATAAAACGAATAAAAGGTTTTTTCTTGGAAAGAAGGTTGGAAAAGCAGGACATTCCTTAAAGGATTATGCTCATACTGTGGATTTCTGTCTTTTATAGTATGTAAAAGTTTCCCAGAAACAACATCAGAAATGTCTTGCTCTAGAGCCCTCAGAGCAGGAACTGTCTTTTATCCAAAGGCATGATGGTTTAGTAAAGGAGGAGCGTTGCTCGTTCATTTACTTCTAACCTGTATATTACATTATAGGCTATGAAATGCTAAAAATGAATGTATTTTGTGCAAGAAGTGAACACTTAAATCCATGCAGAAAATTTTCTGTATTCTTGTTTCATGGTATAGTATTTGTAAAATTTTGTGCTTTATCCAGATTTGTTGCAAAGGGAAATGTGTAAAGGAACAAAGTGGAGAACTATACTTTCTGATTTTTAGATTGTAGCTGTAGCATTTTTGGTAACTATATATCCACCAACAGTCCTTAAGATTGGTACTGTACTGTTCTAGCTATGTTTAAGGATCCATTAATGGGTACATCTTCAGTAGTTTAAAAACACGTATTTTCATTCTCTGTATTTCTAGCGATTCTTGTGGGGTTTTTTACAATAATTTTCAGCTGTATTTAAAAATATTATTTTTCTGGTTGTGTTCTTATACCAGTTCTACCACAGCAATAGATGAAGACCCCTTAGAAATGCATTAAGGGAAGTAGCAAGCGCTTGCGACAGGTGACTTCTTTCTCTCTCCCTCTAAACAGACATGGCAGTCTCACGCCTCATCCTGACATTTAGGCTACGTTAGCTCAGGCCATTGACAGCTTTTCAAGGTAAACTGACACTTTGCATGTAATGCTGTAATTTGTGGGTAGCCAAATTAGAGAACAAAGAAGTTAAATATTTGTTTCAGCACATGTCACCTAGGAGATATACCTGCCTATTACAAATGAATTGTCTCACAAGTCCTTACCAGTATTTCATGTACATGTCAAATTGATATTTCCAACTATGCATTGATACCTGCCACGTGTAGCAAAACCATGGCAAAAATAAACCAAGATACTAAAACCATAATGAATTTGTGCTTTACTGCATGCATTACAATAAAGAGTAAATGTGAAGTACAAAAAGCATGTGAATTACACAAAAAAATTGTTAACAAACTCAAGCTAATAATTTAATGCACAATGTATGATACATATCACTAAAATATTAGTTATTTCAGTGGTTTATTTACTATGCTAATCTAAACTTTTTCCATATATTTTCAAGTTGTACTTACAAAGTTGAAGAAATTGTGGGGTTTTTCCGACTTACTTTTTTGTTAGAACTGTGCTGCTTTTTTTCCTGCATTAATGGATTGCTGTTGTAAAAAGTAGGTACTAATAATTGCCAAGTTAAATGTTAGAATGTTTCTTCTCCCCAGTCCTCTAGAAATAGGATAAAATTTCTCCTAATTCCCTAGTGGCCTTAACAGAAAGAGTGAGCACGTTTCCTGTCAGTTTATATTCTAGTTTAAAATGTAATCTGTATTTTCACATGACTACTGGTACCACTTTTTTCTACAGTGAAGTATATTGTATCGTGTGCCTTTAATTGGTTATTGATGAGTGAATTAATCGTAATTGATGCCATGCTCCAAGGAAAATGCTGGTGAGTTTGAATTAAACTGAAATAATTTTAACAGCCAGGCCATTGGTATTAGCTTATTATCAGAAGAACATTTCCTTTGCTAATGGAAATAAATTCCAGAAGGAGAGAGAGAGGGAAGGGGTTAAAATTCAGTCTAAAGGAAATGTTAGTACATAGTTAATTTTGAACAGATATATTTTTATTCCATCAGCATACTGTCAGTATGGCTCTAAATGATGAAATGCGTCAGAAGAGTACATTTCTGTTTAAGTAATTGAGCCAATCTAAATCCTGTCAATTATGCAAATTTATTCAGGGCAGAAGAAATTTTGTATTGTAAGTGTTACACAGCATGGGCTTTCATCAACTGCTAATTTTGAGTCCACAATCATAGAATCATAGAATAGTTTGTGTTGGAAGGGACCTCTAAAGGTCATCTAGTCCAACCCCCCTGCCGTGGGCAGGGACATCTTCAACTAGATCAGGTTGCTCAGAGCCCCGTCCAACCTGACCTCAAATGTTTCCAGGGATGGGGCATCCACCACCTCTCTGGGCAACCTGTGCCAGTGTTTCACCACCCTCAGCATAAAAAATTTCTTCCTTCTATCTAGTCTCAATCTACCCTCCTTTAGTTTAAAGCCATTCCCCCTTGTCCTGTCACGACAGGCCCTGCTAAAAAGTTTGTCCCCGTCTTTCTTATAAGCCCCCTCTAAGTATTGAAAGGTCGCAATAAGGTCTCCCTGAAGCCTTCTCCTCTCCAGGCTGAACAACCCCAACTCTCTCAGCCTGTCCTCACAGGGGAGCTGTTTCATCCCCCTGATCATTTTCCTGGCCCTCTTCTGGACCTGCTTGAACAGGTCCATGTCTTTCTTATGCTGAGGGCTCCAGAGCTGGA